GTCACTGGCCCTCATATGTGGGATCCGAACCGGAGCCCTCTGGCATCCCAAGCCAGTTCTTAACCATCGCACCACTCGGCCGGCCCTCAATATTATTTTTTAATCCAAGGGGGTTTCAAATGGTGCCAGCAGGGCCCAGCCCCCAAACACAGCCCATTCGTGCTTCTGGGGTAGTGGTTTCAAACATGCTGGGATTTTCAGGGAAAAAGTCCCCAGAAAACTGGAGTTTTGTCTCCAAACCAGCCTTTTTCTGGACAGGCCCAGCCACTCCTGTCACCAAAGAGAAAATGGAACACAGATGTAGAGATGCTACCCTGCAAAACATGGGGCGTTTCTGGGTCCCCCTTCCCGGGCCCCATGGTGATGTGGTAGGAAAAGATGAAACTCTGGGGGGACAGAGAGAGGAGGGATTTGGGGTCAGGTTGCCCGGCTCACCTCCAGCATAGCCCCTTACGAGCTTTGTGACCTTGAGATGGTTACTTAACCTCTCTGTACCCTCACTTACTCATCCGAAAGAGATCATCGTAGAGCTTTCTTCCCAGGATTGCTGAGAGGATTGAAGACCTGATGTGTTAGAGCTCAAATCAGCCCCAACGGACTTCATCTCCTTTCATTCCTGTTGTATGTCAGAGGAGACCAATTCTTTACAAGACCCTACAGCAGCGGTTCTCAATCCTGGCTGCCTTGTGGAATGACCTGGGACCTTCAAACAACCCATACCCAGCCTGCACTGTCAGAGGTTTTCATGGAACTGGTCCAGGGTAAGGCGGGGGCATCCAGAGCCCTAAAGCTTCTGGGGTGACTCCAACATGCACCGGGGCTGAGACCGCTACACTAGGCCTCCCGGAGATAATCAGACCCCATAGTAAGCTTTCTCAGAATCACTTGGAGGGCCTTTTAAAACGGAATACTGGGTCCCAACCCCAAGTGATTCCGTAGGTCTGGAGTGGGCCCAAGAATATACATTTCTATCAAGTTCTCAGGTGGTGCTAATGCTGCTGATCCCAGGACCTAACTGGAAGGACCACTGTCCTCCAGGAATGTCCGCTTTCCGCAGCCTGGCGTTCAAAGGCCAGGTGGAGCCTCTGGCGCAGGGCCAGAGCGCGGAACATCTTTAACTAGCGGTGCTGGAGCGCCCTCTGCTGGGCACCACGGGCGCCGCAGCTCTTGTGGTTTTCTCCCCGTTCCGGAGTGGTGGATAGTGGTAAGGGGTGGTAGCGTTGTCTCCTGCCCCCGGAGTCCCCAATCTTTCCTCGCAGTAGTTTTAGGACCGGACCACAAGTCTCGGGTCTTGAGCGGGCCGAGGGTCCGGGAAGGGTCAGTCTGGGGGTGGGAGGCGAGGTTGGGTAGGGTATGGAGTTGGGAGCCCAGGCACCTGGACCTCATGCCCTGGATCCGTTATGTGGTTATGCGAGGAAGCTCTGGAGTAGGACAAATCCAGGATTGAGCTCCCCTCCCGTCTCTGAGCCTTAGTTTCCTCATCTGGAAAATGGGAGTGAAAACCTGTCTTCATCCAAACCTATTCCCCCAAACCTAGTCTATCCACAGACTCAAACACGCGCGCACGCGCGTACAATCACCCCCGCCCCCCTCCTCCCCTGCCGCAATCTATTCACCTAGCAGACCCTCACAGAGACAAACACAACACCGAAGCCTGGCACTGGAGGGGTCAGCGATGAAACCTGAATAATCCCCTAGTGTCACAGCCTTGGCTCAGAGCTTTTGCACCTGTGTTTCTGCCACTTGGGTGCGCTTCCCTCGGGTATCCGTCTGCCTAACTCACTTTTTTCGGTTCTTTGCTGAAAAGTCACCTCCTCAGTGAGGGCTTCGCCGCACAACCTTAAGCAGCTGATGATTGCAAACCGTCTCCTGCCCCCCCTCCTCAGGCCCCGCCCTCCGGATTTTTCTCCCCCGCAGTCATCACAGTTTAATGCAGGACCGTGCGCTTCTCTAGGAGGCTTATTATTTGTCACCCGTAGGTAACTCTCCCCGAGGGTCTGCATTTGTCTGTTCTGCCTCCCGCAGCAGCCACAGCTCCGGGCCGGGATACAAGTCCTTTAAGTTTCGCGCGGATCTCTCGGCCTCGTCCCGGGTGCTGCCTTCTCCTCCCACCCGAGGCGGCAGCGCTCCGCGGGGTCCTCTGGAACTCGGTACCTCCGGGATCCCCGCGGGGACTAACCTACTGCTAAGGGGCCAGTGTGGGCCCCGCGCGCCGCCCTTTCCGGCGGGATCTCAAGGCCTTAAGACCCTGCTACTCGGACCTGAGACGCTGCTCCGCGCGCCCCTCGGCTCCCTCCCGCCAGGGCGGAGCGTTGCAGCACCTTCCTCGCCCGGCGCATCTGGGTCCGGTTCGCCAAGCCCGCGTGGTTCATTCAGTCAGTCATTCGACGACTGGAAACAGCAGTCCCCGTGTGTGGGCACTGGGCTGGCGCTGCGTAGGCGGCCGGGGACAGGACGGNCGACCCAAAAGGAGTGGACAGCCCCTCTGTCAGTCTTCCCGAGTCTGGGAGTGTAAGATGAGAAGGGGAAAGGTGGGCCTCACCCAGGGGGAGGACGAGAAGGAACTTCCTGCCCCCGAACTCCACAGAACAGCGCGCGCGGGCAGGGAGGCGGGAGGCGCGTCAAGGTCAGCCTGGACTAGGGTGGCAGCCTGCCGAGGGGCGGGAGACCCTCCTGAGGGGCTGGGCTGCCTCCTCCAAGCGCCTCGGCCATATTGAATAGCCGCGGCTGAGCTGTCTTTGTCTGCGAAGTCCTCTCCCAAGTTCCAGGCGTGTCCCTAGTGCCTGGGGCAGGAAGAGCCGCGGGCAGCCCGTGCTCCCCAACTTGGAGCTGGCACACCACTTTTGGAGCTTGCTGTGGGCTTTGAGCCTCAGGACTAACCTCACCCCGGCTCACGTAAGCATCCTGGAAACTGATTGCAACCAGTCCTTGGGAGGGGACTCTGCCTTGGTCCAGACCGGACTTGTTGCAGGCAGAGAAATTGGGAGGTGTTGGCTCACCTCCGCCTAGGGAGGTGATACTCTCTGGGCAGCGCTGCTGGGACCTCCCACCTTCACTTCGATCCCCAAGAGTAGTGTCCTTTGGGCTTGTTGCCCCCCCACCCCAGATTTCACCCTGGAGATCTTAAAGACCCTCGAGAAAAGCCACGTGGGGGGCTGGTTCCCCTGGGGCTTCCTCCCGTCTCCCGACTGCCTGATACTCTGGACCGTCCCCGACGTCTGCAAAGATGTGGATTTGGACGTCCTCGTGGAAGCCCTGAAGCCTGTGGGGACCTTTAAGAAGATCGGCAAGGTGTTCCGCAAGGAGGAGGACTCCACGGTGGGGATGCTGCAGATTGGGGAGGACGTCGACTATCTGCTCATCCCCCGGGAGGTCAGGCTGGCTGGGGGCGTCTGGAGGGTCATCTCCAAGCCTGCCACCAAGGAGGCGGAATTTCGGGAGCGGCTGACCCAATTTTTGGAGGAAGAAGGCCGCACCCTGGAGGACGTGGCCCGCATCATTGAGAAGAGCACCCCTCACCCGCCCCAGCCCCCCAAAAAACCCAAGGAGCCCCGAGGGAGGAGGAGAGTCCAGCAGATGGTGACCCCTCCTCCCCGGCTGGTTGTGGGCACCTATGACAGCAGCAATGCCAGCGACAGCGAGTTCAGCGACTTCGAGACCTCCAGAGAGAAGGGTAACAAGGGCCACAAAGGCACGGGGCGTGGCAGGAAGGTGCGCAAAATGCCCGTAAGTTACCTGGGCAGCAAATTCCTGGGGAGCGACCTGGAGAGCGAGGATGACGAGGAACTGGTGGAGGCCTTCCTTCGGCGTGGGGAGAAGAAACCCAACGCGCCGCCTGCCCGCCGCCGCGTGAACCTGCCGGTGCCCATGTTTGAGGACAACTCAGGGCCCCAACCGTCTAAGGCGGACAGGTGGCGAGAGTATGTCAGCCAGGTTTCCTGGGGGAAGCTGAAGCAGAGGGTGAAGGGTTGGGCGCCGAGGTCCAGCCCAGGAGTGGGCGAGGCCCAGCAGGCCTCCACCAGGGTGGAGAGGGATGAGGTGCCAGGAAGCGCCAGCTGCAGTGATAATGTGGGGAATGCAGGAGATGAGCCAGTGCCTGAGGCCCCCCCAAGAAGATGGAGGCCCAAGATCAACTGGGCCTCGTTCAGGAGGCGCAAGACGGAGGAAGCAGCATCCGCAGTTCAGGGGACAGAGGCTACAGCTAATCAAAGGGTAGAGGCTACAGATGACCAGAGGGCAGAGGCTGCAGATGACCAGAGGGCAGAGGCTGCAGATGACCAGAGGGCAGAGGCTGCAGATGACCAGAGGGCAGAGGCTGCAGATGATCAGAGGGTGGAGGCTGCAGATGATCAGAGGGCAGAGGCCATAGCTGACCAAGAAGCAGAGGCTGTGGATCACCAGAGGGCAGAGACTGCAGATAATCAGAGGGTGGAGGCTGCAGAGAATCAGAGGATGGAGGCTGCAGAGGCCATAGCTGACCAGGGGTCAGAGGCTGCATCTGGTGGGGCAGAGGCCATTGCTGACCAGAGGGCAGAGGCTGCACATGATCAGGGGGCAGAGGCCATTGCTGACCAGAGGGCAGGGGCTGCACATAATCAGAGGGCAGAAGCCCCAGCTGTCCAGGAAGCTGAAGCCTTAGCTGCCCCTGGGGCCACAGGAGCAACCCCAGGAGTTAGGGCCCGAAAACAGGTGAAGACAGTGAGGTTCCAAACCCCTGGGCGCTTCTCATGGTTTCGCAAGCGCCGGAGAGCCTTCTGGCACACTCCTCGGGTGCCAACCCTGCCCAAAAGAGTCCCCAGGGCAGGCGAGGCCAGGAGCCTCAGGGTGCTGAGGGCCGAGGCCAGAGCAGAAGGAGAGCAGGGTGAGCAAGAGGACCTGCTGTGAGGTGCAGGCAGGGACGCCAGAGCACCCACCACCCACTATCTTATTGGCCACTCAGGGCGCGTCCCTCCCTCTCCTGCCCTTGGACGGAGATGATCTTTCTGCCTCCACACCTGAAACTGGAGGTAGAGTGAGGGCCAGGCAGTGCCCCTCACCTCTCTACCTAGCACCCCCTTTTTTTCATGTTAAAATTTTATCTTTCATGCATTGATTTTAAAAACAGTCTAGTAACCCAAGGAATGTAAAGAAAGAAACCTGTACAATGGAGTCGCATTAACTTCCTCAGATGCGACTCCAGGTGCTCAGCTTGAAAAAGAGAGCGAGGGCAGGGGGAAATTCCTTCCTCTTCTCCATTCTCATCTCCCCTTTGCCTGCACACTTCACACTGACTGCCTCCTTGAACTTACAAAGAGGGCACAAGCCAACAACATGCAAATAAAAATGTTTACAAACTCATTTCTTGGCTTTGGACTTGGCAGCTGAACAATGCTCCAGGGTGATTTTGTCATGCCCTTGTGTCCCCTCCATGATAGTGATCTGTGTTTATGTCACTTTGCTTGCCATCCCCACACCCCTGGGTTCTGCAGGGTCCGAGGGCCCAGGGCCTTCAGTTTATACACTTCATACGCTTCACAAGGGACAAAAGAATCTGGAAAACGTGTCTAAATGCAGATTTGGGGGCCCTTCATGCCAGAGTTGTGGGTTTGCTAGCACTGGCTGTGCCCCCCCAACATCTGGGGCAGCTTGGCCACTGGACACAGTGACAAGTCACTGCAATAGGAACAGGCCAAAATGGGGGTTTGTGGTGTAGTAGTATGGAGTCTGCTGTGACTGGTGCTTACAATCGGGGAGAAATCGGGTTGCTAAGGCCCTGTGGGAGCTGGAGAACATCTCTTTGTATTGATTGTGTCCCCCACCCCCCTCACCCCAAGCTCACTGAAGGCAGGAGAAAAGGGAATTCATGGAGGAGGGGACCTGAATGCCAGCTCTAGCCTTCTGACTGTGGCTGCAGCCTGGCCTGAGTTTCTTAGTTTTTTTCCCCTTGGAATGTAGGAATGATAGGCCCTCTCCAGCCCCTGCCCCAAAAGTGGTCACTGCTGGTGGGACTTGCTGTATGATGCTAAGAGCCCCTTTGAACTAGGTTAGTTCACAGCTCATCCAAGCCAGAAAGAGCCCCCAGTGAAACTTGGAAAAAAGACAAGGTGTGGACCCCACCTGGAGAAATGGATTTTGGGGCTGGAGGTTGGGAGAGATGACCAACTGGGTGGGGCCATCTCTGGAGTGGCCAGTGAGCACTCTGGATGCCAGGTTGGTGGCGGCAATGGGGGCTGTCGTGGCTGCTGCCCATCTGGGAGAATAGTGGCCTCCTGACCTGGGGGCCTGGCCTGTTTGGGTTGCTGGAAGGTAAAAGGAGAGGGGAGCAGAGATGGGAAGAGACCTGGAGACACTCAGAGACTAGGCAAATCTATCTCCCTGCTGATTCTCGTTTGTTCCTCCTGTCCCCAGCGTTCCAGGCATGGG